CCCTAGGCCGGAATGCCCCCCCAAAAAAAACCCACCACCCCAGTTGTGTCGGAACAGGTGGCCAGAACTGGCGACGGTCAGAGTCACTTACAGATCTCCCAAGGCTTATGAAAACTTAACAGGGTTAAATCTAAAGTCCGGACTAAACCAGGAGAGGACTGAGAATTTCAAAACCCAAATATGACCTTGCATGTGTAGAGCAGCCCCCCCCCCCATGTCTCTCAGTTCCTTTTTCATGAGGAAAGTACCCATAGATAATTCTCACAGAAAGGTGAAGCCCTGATTGAGTTAATTTAGTGTTCATGCCATGCAACAAGCTAGGGCTATATTCATGGAGGAAGCGAGGTTATATATAAAGCTTAATAAGTGACTGAAAGACAGACAGACAGATAGATAGAGAGATGGATGGATGGATGACTGGAGAAGGTAAAAATTTAAAGACAGGCAGCAATACAGAGATTACCTGACAGTTATAAGATACTACATAAGGTACTTAATATTGTCATGAGTGCTCCTCGCTAATCACGGACGATGAAGCGTTCAGCTTCAGCTCCCATGTGACACTTCCAAAAGCACTAAGAGGAAAGGATGGATGGCACAATCATCAGACCACAAAGGATGTGTATATATTATTACATATATATTAAAAAGAAATAATAGAGCATAATAGGGCCAGGAGAAGCTGATTATGGAACGCCTGTCTGATTTGTTAAAAGATTTGCATACAGAAAGCTATTTCTCAGGCCATGAACATAGGTTTTACTTTGGTGACCAGAGTTACTGCTGGGTATGAGGGTGGTGGGGAATCTCGCCAGGCAGGCCTGCAAACAACACTTCATCAGAGGCCCGTTGCTCATTTCCCCGCCTTTGACAGTGGGACTGTGGTGAGAGCTCAGGTTCCACAGTGAGGTCCGGTTACTCTGACGCTCCTCTGCATGCCTCCAGCCCCCAGGGCGCAGGCTGTCGCTTTGGCCCGAGTTCTGGGCATCACATGTGCTCACAAGATTATGTCCCTCTCCCTGACACGCACTGAGAGCTTTCTAAGTCAGTTTCACAGAAAAAGGCTGTTTTTCACCCCCTAAGGGTGTAGTCTTTATCGTTTCAGATACGTTTCTTCTGTTCTACTGATAGGTTTACAGTGAATAGGGAAAAAAAAGTGTGTGAAGTTCTGCATACGTTGTAATGGTGTGGCAATGTGTGATTCTCTCGCTGTTGGCCAGTGCTAACTGTGGTCTACACGCATAATTCACACAAACAGCCCAGACATCGTTTCCTGCTACTCATGTGGTCGATTCACTCAGGGACACAATTTTGACTAGATTAATTTTTTAAATTTTCCAGTCATCTGTCAGAGCGAGAAAGCTGGAACTGAACATGCTAGAAAGCTTGTGAGACGCCGTGTTCAGGTACCAGTGCCGAGTGTTGCAAAACACTGTCGGTACAAAGAGCTACGCGGAACGTCAAGACTAGGATCTGTTGCTTTGTTCGATACATCTCATGGATGGGCTTTTCCTAGTCTTCATCCTCTCTTCCTTATCAGATACCTCCCAAAGCAAAGCAGACTCAGTTAACGTCCCCGAGGTTTCCAACACAGATGCACGGCAGGAAGAGTCATCCATGCTGAAAATATTACAACCTGCCAGGAAAGGTGGAGGACAGTGAGCACAAACCAATGGACATTGTGTGTTAAAATAAGAAACCTGGACATCTTGCCAACATGTGAATCATCGGGAGCAGTTGCATAATTAAAGTAATCTGTCGAGCAGAGACTTCCTCTAGAAATCTCACCTTCTGCTGATGGCATCTGAGATGCCGCCACCACCAAGGAGAAAAAAAATACTCCACACATTTCAAGGAAGCCGCATGATTGGCTCCCCCTGCTCTGACGTACAATAGAAGCCAAGCAGAAAAATCAAGTTGAACTGCAAGCAGTTAGACACACCTAGTTTCACAACTAGTTCCAGAGAAAGCCTGGAAGATATCTGGCGTTTGTCAAACTGCACACTGGATTGGAGACAAGCTGGAATCTCCTATAATTGGACATGCATCCAATTATAGCTAGAGGTAGCTAGAAAAACAAATGATAAAAAACACAGTAAAAGTAGCTAGGACTCTTGTCTTTTACACTATTACCAATAATTACACCTAAACACGCACGCAAACATCATAGGAATTATGCAAGTATTAGATGGCGTGTCATGCTTAAAACAACTTAAAAGGTTCCCACACTCTTGGGTGGCTCCCCTGAGGCAATGTCCACCGTGCACACGCAGAACACAGACCCGCCTCTAAGGTGGAGCCTTCCCACTGGGCTTCGACACAACCTCATCCACCGGTGTCAACTTTTATGAGAGAGATGGAGAAGAGATGAGATGGTAAAAACAAAATTGCCACAACCCTAATTAGTCAATGTCATGTGATAGGAGCAGAAAAGCAGGGTGTAGAGATACTCTGTAGTAATCCCCACTACACCCTAAGTAATGAGGAGGCGCTGCAGTCAGGCCATGTTCGTAGATGATTTCTGATGCGTTGAAAGTGGATTAGTAAGGGGATTATCCCCTGGTATGTCACTATGCCCCTTTGTCCTGTAGTAGAATCACCCTTGTTCAACACTCACAGCTGAGAGCCTGGCAGACTCTCAACATGGGACAAAGTGCATGACGGCTAGAGATTCAGCCAGGAGCAAAGCTCACTAAAGGTCAATATGGCAACAAGACACCTGCTGATCAGGTGACCATGGAGCCTGGACACCTGATGATTAAAGGGACACCAACAAGTCAGCTCACAAAGCTTACAAGCTCACTTCAATCATCACTGAAAAAATCAACGACAAATAAAAATATGTTTTCCAGGTTTGTTCCTCTACATTAAGCTTCATCTCCAGCACAGTCTAAAGAGTGGTCACCATGACCTTGAACAGGACAGGCGGTTGGAAGATGGGTAGATGGACTGACAACCTGTACTGTTTAATCGCTCTTTTCTTAGCAATTAGCAATCGCAATACAGGGTCTGATGGCTGGATTCCAAGACCAAACAAACCCCACAGACTACAAACACCAAGCAGAGGTGCCGTGAAGGGGGGGGGGGGGAGGTCTCCTGGGTAGGGTTTAGCTGTTTAGCTGCAAATGCATGTGCATTCAACTACTCAAAGACCCATGCTCTAAATCTCTAAATAGCACACCTCCTCTCCTTTTGAGAAATTATAATGCAGTGAAACCAGTTTACAACTATAAATCCGGAATGACAAAGCAAGGGAAAAATCTGCAGAATCAGACCTATGCAACCCCCAGGCAAAAAAAGAAACTCCCCTTCTAATCTAGAGCTTTACACATATGCGCCACATTTGCACATTTGCAGCTGTGGAAAGAAGGCTTAAAAAATACCAGCGTCCATTTGCCGTGCGATCGTCACAGCTCAGCCCGGGGAGATACGTTTAAGTGTCAACTAAACAAGTCTAACTCAAGCCAGTACAGGACATACTCTTCAGATTATACATCTCCCCACATTCCTGTTTTTTAACACACTGTTAAATATGCACAACAGTGGGTTTTGGGGGCATTAAGCTATAACCTCTGATGAGCTCATCCGCGTTAATGAAAAGATCCTTAGTCGTAAAGGTGCTGACGACTCTCAGATGTAGCGTGATTTATAAGAACTTAATATTAACAGCAAATTCATAGCTTACAACTCGAAACAAAGCGAACTGGTCAGCGGCAAACTATAAATGAAAGAATTCATAGGACATTTATTCTGCTGAGGCTTTAACTATGTGCAAGTAATATGAGTTTTCAAATCAAACTGATAACATTAAAATCTAACGAACGACGCCGGTCGACATGAAGGCAAACCATTCAGAAAGTGTTTTTGTTTTGTTTAACGAAGTGGGAAAATATCTACTGTCGTTTCTTCTAAAAATATTTAACTCTCATAAGTCCCGTAAGGCCCCCCAAAAGGCACGGATTTGAGTTTATTGTTTTACCTATTACTGTTCCTACTATGCCGTATATCCTCCACGTAATCGCTTCCAAAAAGCAAGGATGGTTGCATAAATCAACTGAGCTAACATAAGACATTAAATCAGATCTGTCAAGTCATGTTTCTACAAGTGAAGTCGCGTAATTATACTGAGTATACCAGTTAGTGCACTTGGAAAAGGAAAGAAAATGATCTTACCCTGAAACTTCATTGTTTTCAACGCCTTTTTGCATATGACCGGGTATTTCTTTGATTCTTTAAAATAAAGCAAGTAATAATAATAAAATTAAATAATAACACGCCCGGAAAGGGGGAAACGAAGCACGACTGATCTGAGATATCTATGTATCCGGACAAAAATCTAGCTTCACTCCACAGAAGGTTTAACATAGCCTGTATTACTGAAAGAAGGGAAAAACACAGAGAGGGTCATGTGAAATGCCGGTATCTATCCGCTTCCTTGTTTTATTTTCTCGATAATTTTCTGTTTTTTGTTTAGTTTCACCCGTCCCCGCTGCCAGCTCTTTCTGTTTAGGGGAGGGCAGCGCCGCCTATAAGCGCGCATCAGCAACAGGGGGGAGCTGCCATGCGGGACATCGTCATACTGCCGAGTCACTTAACTTTCTGTATTTGTGCATTTATATTTGTAAATAATATATAGATTATCTATGTAAATTTAACTTGGATTCGTGCCTTATAATCATGTTACACATACACACATACATACATATATATACATATACATACATATACACACATACATATATATATACACATATATATATATATACATATATACTGTATATACATATATATACACATATATACACATATATACACATATATACACATATATACACATATACACATATATATACATATATACACATATACACATATATATACACATATATATACACATATATATACACATATATATACACATATATATACACATATACATACACATATACACACATATATACACATATACACATACATATATATACATATACACATACATATATATACATATACACATACATATATACACATATACACATATATACATATACACATATACACATATATATACATTTAAATTATATAGTTTTATATATATATATAATTATGTATTAATTTAATATGTGTGACAGGTCTTCAAGCGATAGAACGCTCTGTTGCTTTTCCCTACCTTTGATGCAAATTTCCGAGGTCTGCTACAGCAAAATAAACTAAATTAAACTGACGTTTGTATCACCAGGCAAAATGTCACTATGTAATTCAAATTGATCATGTGCTTGAAATGGTGTTGGTGAATAGGTGCCGAGCTGGTCTGATCTTACAGATGCAGGATGCCCTGTAATGGTTTGGAACAAGGATTCGTGAAGGCGTCCAGTTTAAGTGTCAAGGAGGGTGTATCTGTTGTTCCCTTCAGATAGACACAAACACTGAAATGCTTGTATGAGGAAAAAAACCCACCAATCTTCTGTTTTTCCCGTTCAGGAGATAATAAAAACATATACAGTGGTACCTCGGTTCTCGAACTCACTAGAACTCGAATTTCTTGAAAGTCGAACAAACCACTTTGACCTAGAACTCGATCTGAATATCATAAGTCGAACCGTGAACGCTGACCTAATATAAATTGCATGCGCCAGGAAATGAGTCATACTACAATGCAATTCTTACTTGAATGCCTTTTTCACAGACTGGACGTTTAACCAAATAAAGCAGCGCAACATTACAGTAACTAACAATAAATAAACCACTAACTTACGTGTACTATTAGAGCATTTATGTCAGTTATTTAAACTTTATTTTACCAGGTAAATTAACAGAAAACCAGTTCTCACTGCTTTACGTGATATTCGGGAGAAATAGCAGATTACGCATCGGAACTGCCTGGGATACAAACGTCATGCGTGTAACTAAACTCTTCAGCCAATAAGGGCAAAGGTGTGTCGTCACGGAGGCGGTTCCAGTTTGTGCAGCCGGGTGAAAGGTCGCAATGCATCCAACCGTAATGTATTGCGTCAGGATCAGAATGCGTTGCTTTAATTAAGCCAGCGCTGTAAGCAAGTCGAACGCACCCAATGACCGGACTGGGGAAACAAACTGAAACGCGGACTTTAAATACAGAGGACTAATGACAACAACCAGAAACAGATGATCACATGGGGATCCCACACGAAGTTAACGAGGGGGCGTGGCACACGGAAGGAGCGGACGATCGGGGCAGGACAGAGGTAATGTTGGGATAAGATCTTTATCGTTTTGGAAGCCATTTAAAAAAAAAATGCTGCTCTTGTTTTATCCTGTTCTTTTTGTGTTCAAATGCTTAAAAAAAAAAAACACATTTAGGTGTAATTTTTGGGGGCCGGGAACCAATTAATTGGTTTTCCATTATTTCTTATGTGAAAAATTCAATCAGAACTCGAATTCAATCCGGAGTCCGGAACGGATTAAGTTCGAGAACCGAGGGACCCCTGTATATGCAAACTGAGCATGCAGAGCCAAGTTAAATATGCTACGTTAGTGCACCGGCTGTTGACAAATTTATGTTAAGTGCCGTCACCGCTGGGTTATTGTTTATTAAGAATTAAATAGAACAGTAAAAATAACATAGCATAATACGATGATTAATCCACTTGTAGTTAAAGGTAGAATTTAAATATTGCATTTCTGTTTGGAGTCAATTTGCTGGAAAAATAACTAGCCTGTATCACAACTAGCTGTAATATCTAATTAATCATCACTGGACCTCTGCCACTAAAACGTATTCGACGTGTGCAAGTAGTTTTTCATCACTAACATATGAGTATAAATCATATACAGGCAGAGTAACATTTATGGTTTTGTGTAATGGAAAGTTTGTTACACCCATATAGAATGCAGCTTTGACAGTTAAGTATTTGCATTAAACAAATGACTTATTTTGAATGAGCAGGACGGGGTGTTACATCGTGACATCTGGTAGCCATTTCCATACTGCTTCAGAGGAGTGTTGACATACAGACATCCTACAAACTCAAACTTGAACAATGAAAAACGCCAGCATCCCCGAAATTCCAATTCCACTTTGCTGGTATTCAAGATCAAATGAAACGCCATTACTGCCACCTGATGAAAGAATTTTGCATTGCGCACACACAAGATAAATCGAGTTCATATCTTAATCTCCGTCAAGTAAAACTCCTGGAAACCATCCTTAATAACACCAGTTTTATTTGATGCTTATTTCCTACGTTTTGGTACTATAAAACAGTACAAAGTATATATATTCATATATATATATATAAAGTAGAAATAAACTCTAATATCCTAACACTATACAACAACGAACCAAAGGTTTGGGGAGGGACAAAAATAAATCCAGTCAAGGGTGGATTAACTCATTGCTGTTTTCCAACAGAAACTCAACAGAACATGGAGCATATTTGTAGTTTGAGATCTAAAAAAAATAACCTTACCATTTTGCTGTACAGCATGACAACCATGTGTGAAATCATTTGCAAACAACTGCATGGGGAACATTTATAATGTGCTGTAGAATCATCTGTAATCATATCTATGAGAAGCCAGTTTCCACATGGCACACTCCTGTGTGGAACATATTTATGTCTGATGCAGTCAATATCAGATTCTGATTTAAAAAAAAAAATCAAGAAAATGAGGGGGAAAATATGTATTTCAGCCATTTTCATAATAATAGTGCTCCTGTTAAGTTGTAAATTTCAGCAAAAACTGAGGCTTAATGATGTGTAAAAAAATACAAAAATAACAATTTACCTCAAGCAATACAGCTGTAGTATTTTAACGTAATAGATACAAAAAAAACCTACAGCATTGATATTGGCATACAGTTTCTTTAAGCAAAATTTCACATTTTAAAAATTAAATACTAAGAAGATTTTGATGCTGCGTATCATCTAAAAAGTGCTCTGACACACAGAATCGGCTTTAGCAATTTGTCAGCCTGCCAACAGCGGAATAACAATCTTGCTGAAAGACACGCTATAAAAGGAGGGATTTTGAAAATAAATTAAAACAATATGCACAGAACCACTCAAATGGCTAACGAGCAGCCGTGCTAATATTGCAATTTAATGCTGTCGTCACAATAGGTACAGCAGTATAAATATGGAAGATTAGGCAGACACAGAGCAGGTGAAATGTTGTATATATAAAAAGTACCACATAAACATTGTGATAGCTAAAAACATGTTTTAAAAAAACAAAAAAAAAACCAACAAAGTGTAACCTCTTTGGTCACAGTGTCATGTCCTTGCACATTCCGACTGACTGTAGCCGCAAATTAGACAGGACTAAAATTAAAGTGTGTTGTTACTCCCCTATCAGTCCCTGTGAAGTAGGAGGGGGGGGGGGGGGGGAGTGGTATCAGTAGCTACCGCCGATGTTCTTTCGTCCCTAAAATGTGACGGGTAGCTGGCGAGGGAGACCCCGTGATGTGGGGGTGGGGGAGGGGCGGGTCTATAAAGTGGCAACGTGTGTCCAGCCCACAAGCTCTAGAAAGGCCCCTCTGGCGTCAGTGCAGCGCTCTGATGTAAGCTGTGGTGGAGCTCAGCTTTGCAGATGGTCGGCACGCCGCAGTGAACAGAGCTACCAGCAGGGGGCTCCTCGTCACCTGAAAGAAAACACGATAGGCCCGAGTTCATGGTCACGCAAAGCCACTTGCAAAAGCCACTAGCAAATCCACTGAACAGCCATTTTACTATTCTTTCTGCAGCCTTTTGGTTCATTACGCTCCCCCCTCTCCCCATCATATATCAGTATTTATGTTAGGGATAATATTAGGGCTTGTAGGTTTGCTATGTTAAAAATGTGATCAGCTGTTTGATTGGTTGAGATGTTTGAATTAGAATGAATTTCTAATCATGGTCTTACCCAATCCAGAAGAGGAGGACATGCTTTCGGCCAGGGAGGAGGAGTCTGCCTGATCCGGACACAGGCCATCCATCAGGGGGATGGACAGCTCAGAGGAAGGCACTGATGAGTCATAGATGCCAGAGTCCCTTGGCATTTCGGGGGGGCTGGCATTGCCATCTGCCTGCAGAACTGGCCTCAAGGAGGCGCTGCTGTCCTGGGAGGCGGAGCCCTCACGTTCCCCTTGCAACAGTCTGGACAAGGTGGCAGAGGCCTGCGGGGCAGCAAGCAAAGTATTCTTCAGGGGGCGGTCTCCCTCGGGGAGCCCCTTGAGGGTGACCTCGTTGAGCGCCAGTCCAGAATCGAGCTTCTCAACAGGCGGGTGGGCACATGGCTGGGGCCCGGGACCCGGTGCCAGCTGCCTCTCGAACCAGTCGGGCTCCTGGGCGATGTGCTGGTGCATGTTGCAGATGGCGACATAGAGCGAGCGCCCCGACCGGCTGCGGAAATAGTTGCGTTCGCTGATGGCCGCCGGCTGGGCCTCGCGATCGGGGGCTCCGGCCGGGTGGCAGTGCAGGCGGGCGGACAGGCATGGCAGCTGCTCCATCAGCTTGAACCTGGGGGCCAGGTCCAGTGCAGCAGGGATGTCGCTCTCG